AGTCCCTAGAGATATTTCGCCATGCTGATCAGTGGGCAGACTAGCTTGACACATTTAATAAACACAGGTTGTTCATACATCTACAGGTAAGAATGAAACAAAGCTGATGCATGCATGGGATTGCAAAATTAACTGCCTGGCAGAAGAGTTTCAGGACCAACATTTGCTCTAATTATTCCTCCTGTGAGCTGGAAAAAAAAATGACTGCCATATCTCCAGCTGAAAGTCTAGGAGCAGAGTCTCTCCCCCTCTCCTGTTCTCCTTATTTAATCTCCCCTGCCACTCACTTGCTCCCCCTCCTTCTTTGTTCTATTTTCCACCTTCATTACCACCTCCTCCTCACCTCTCACATTCTCCCTTTTGTCTCCCTCACTTTCCCTCTCACTTTCTCCCCCCACTTTTCCACTCCTCATCCCACACACCCTCCTCTGTTAGCTTCTCTACGTGAGAAGTTAAGAGGAAAAGAAGAAAGAGAAAAGACAGAGAAAGATTTACGGAGGTGGAGAACCACAAATAAAGAGGGAGAGACAAAAAAAGAAAGATGTGCTAAGCCACCCTATTTGTGTCAGTGAAAGCAAGGATATGAACCCAGAGCCCCAGATCCAGCAGACAGATGCTAACTGGTGGGAAGCAGTTCTGCCAGCAGGGACACCATTTAAGATTTCAATCAATTGAGAATCTCTGGTGAAAACAAATAAGCATGCAATATTCAAATGTAGATTAAAAAACATTAAAATCACACTGGGTTTTAGCAGCAGAGTCAGAACTAGAAATTGTAGTACCACGACTCCTTACTCGGAACTGTTTCAGACGCAAAAATGGCTGCACAAAACTACCTACAGCCCCCTCTTGGCGCCCAGACTGCCACATGCACCACATCTACGCGTTCAGACAAATTATCTAGGAAGTGTATTTTTTAATATTGAGATTTTACTGAAAATACCTATAATTACCAACGCCATTATTCACAGACGTTCTCCCCCCAGTATTCACAAAGTATGTGTCAGAGTTTGCAGCAGGGATCCTCCCAAGTTGCTAAGCCTGCCCAGCTTTCACTGCTTCACAGCTATAGAATCAATCAGGCAGTATAGAGAGGGTTTTTTAATTAGATCATATCAGGATTATAATTAGCACTGTGTAGGAGCAGAGTTAAGGTAACATAGCAAAATGCAGAACAATTCTATCCTGCCTTGCACTGCTAGTGCCAGCAGTAAAACAGCTCATAGTGTCTGATTACTTTCTCTTTGCCGCACGCACTCTCATTTCCAGCAGAAGTGGTTCCAGGAGGAGAAAGCAGAGTGCCACCTTAGTGCCACAGCCACAGAGCTCACAGGGTGCAAAGGTGTCATGGTCACTTCCACCCAAGGTCTCTACATACACCCGAGTTCCAGCAGCAACAGTGGAACTGCTGTGCAGTGCACAAACAGTGTATGGATTTGACATCAGGGGAAACACCTACTCGTCTGTAGGCACATTTTCTCTGAGCTCCTGGAAGACAGTCCAAGCTGCTGGAAGCAGGTCAGGCAGTCCATCCTCTGCCTCACATACTCACACTGTGAGCACAGCCAACAGTGGAACAGAGACACACAGAGTCTCCCCTGTTTCTGGTTACTCCCCTGGGACAGCCACAGAGTCAGCCTGAGCACAGGGCCTGCACAACCATCACCACACCACAAGGTGTAAGACCACGTATGGCAAACCTCACTTGTTCTTCTGCCACACCAGAAGATAGGTGTTGTGGAAACAAAGCTGTACCGAGACAAGCAGCATTCATGGCAGAGACACCAGCTTAGCATAATTTGCAGACTTTTGTCCTTGCAGCTCTAAGAGAGTGGGCAGGTTGTACCTTCTGCAGTCCTCTTGAGGCATTTCCCTTGAAATCTGCGAAGAGCCTCAGTCATCTGCTCCCTCTCCTTGTCTACATCTCATGACTGAAGAAAGCTACCCTGGCAAAGTCGTTCAGCTGGCTTTAAAGATGTTTTCTGTTACTGCAGAGCAGAAAGCCATCTTCCAGTGGCTCAGATGTGGTTAGCCCATGTCTGTGTGTGCAAAACACTCTTCACCCATACATGCACCTTCTGGCTGGCTTAGCCACTGGCAATAAACATCTCTTATGTATTCAGGGAAAATGCTCCATGCCCGGTCTCCCCGCCATGAGTTTGTGTACAGTTACCTAATCAAATTTCAGTAAAACATGATACTTTTGTCAGATAATCAGTTAATTCCATTCTCTGACATACATTGTTTCCATTTTACTTCAGGTAGGATATAGGCATTCTCTCCATCACATGGGGAACTTGCTGCAGTTTTCTGCTCTGCTCCACCTTCACTACAAAGGGAATTACATTAGACTGGCAACAGTGTCTCTTGGCTTATTAGTACTTCCTTTGCTGATCTTTGAAAGGTTGTACCCAGAGAGGAAGCATTTAGCAGCTAGGAAAGGAGCCAAAGAAACATGATACTAGAAGAGAGATTTCTCTTTCCCAAACTGAGAAATATTTTTACTAGACTGACTAAAAGCATTACATAGCCTATACTGTCAATTTTAAGAAATCAAAAATTTCAGGGAATAATCATGAGATTTTTTTTTCCCCACATCTCCCTCCTGAATCAGAACTATGGACGGACTCTTGAAAATGACTAACCAAGAAGCATAAAACATTCTTGTTTTGTGCCAAGTTTCCCACTTACTTTTCTTTTCAGCACATATTCACATTTTTACAAACGTTAACCAAAACACAGCTCAGGTAACATCAGTATTACTATTAGATGAGGCATCTTTTTTCTTCCCTATCCACTACTGTCAAAATATTTAGTAAAAGAATTAAATCATACTACCTGATTTTTACAGTTCCAGATAACTGTATAATTATATACATTATTTGATATTATCAAATGTGACCAGTACTGCTAGAAAACCTCTGGGTCTCACTCTGTACCTTCCCTCACATTTTAGGAACAGCTTGCAAATATTCATCTGCAGCCAGTCTTTACAGCATGTGGCATTTTCACGATTTTCCTCTAACATGTTGAAGAGAGCAGCTCTGTCCTGAACTTGACATACCTGACTCTTGACACCAAGACCACAGTTCTGAAGAGTAATTATATGCCATCATTATACAGAAGAGGTTAGCCTAAAGTCAGCAGGACAATACAGAATACTAAACACATTTCAATGTATTTGATCTGCCCAATGATCAACACACATTTTAAAAGTTTTTTCAATAAGAAATGTTGTGATATGTGACGCTAGAGATAAGAAAGGTATGCCTTAAAATCTTCATTTCTTCACTAAGCTGAGTAGCTGCTACTCAAATAAAAGGAGTAGGTATCAGACATACTCCAGTGATATTTCTCCAGATTATTCACCGATACTATAATGTCGTATCAAAGCCAGTGTCAAAAAAATCTGATTTGAAGTCATGGTCGATCAGAACCATACTGCTAACTTTGAACAGGGTCTGTACACTA